TGGTCTGAGTGGATCAGACACAGCAGTGCTGCTGGAGTTTTTAAACACCTCAGTGTCACTGCTGGACTGAGAATAGTCCACCAACCAAAAATATCCAGCCAACAACGTCCTGTGGGCAGCATCCTGTGACCACTGATGAAGGACCAGAGGATGACCAGCACAAACTGTGCAGCAGCAGATGAGCTATCGTCTCTGACTTTACATCTACAAGGTGGACTGATGAGGTAGGAGTGTCTAAGTGAGTGGACACAGTGATAAAACAAATGTTAAAAACGTATGACATGCCCTTAAAACATTTTTGAAAACTGGGCTGTCTATCCTCAAAATGTTGGCGCTAAACATGATTATGGCCCTACACATACACATACACACGGTCATTTGAAGCAGCCTGTCCTCTGTTGCTTCCTGACCGACGGAAGCCTCATCGCCGGTCAGAGCCAAACCTCGTTATGACAGAAACATAACAGTTTGAAGCAAGGCCAAGAGACCGGTTCCGGCCAGTGAGAGGTCACAGAGTGGTCAGAAGAGGTCTGATGCAGCTGTTGACTCCTAGAAGTTAGAGTTACCTCAAGTGACAATGAAAGTGTAGTGCAGTTTTATGCACTATTTCAAATCCATTGCTCTCTGAAACGGGTTCTAGACCTAATATGCTAAGCCTAGTTTTAGTGTGAGGAACACACTCCAAAGCTCTAGGTAATTATTAAGGGTTACATATTGTCGAGTTCCAAGACGGTCTAACTAACTAACTAACTAACTAACTAACAAACTAACTAGCTGAACTGAAACACACACACAGCCGCTTATCCTTCTGGGTGGGGGGTGCTGGAGCCTATCCCAGCAGTCATTAGGCAGGAAACACCCTGGACAGGTCGCCAGTCCATCACAGGGCTGAACTAAAACAGGTTCTAGATATGACTGAGTAAATTTGAGGTACAAACTACAGTACTGTGTAATTTTTATGGGTAAGAAGGAACCAGGTGTGTAGGATGTAAAACGATTGTGTATGAATAAAGTATAAAGAGTCTTACAAAGTACATTTTTGTCTATTACATATACATTAAACCACAAACTCCACAGTACTGTGTAATCATATTTCTTCATCAGCCAGTATAGCTTTCCTATTAAATGTTGGCATTTCTTAGTAATTTATTTAAACAGTCTTGTAACTTGCTGCCTAATATGTTAGCCTAACTAATTATCTAGTACTTTGGAGTTTGTGCTTCACACTTATCCGGTTAATACCTAGAACTTAGGGCACAGTTAACTGCCACATGAGGGCAAACATGTTATAATGCGTGCAGAATGTTTCTTGGTGTTTTGTTGGCATAAGAATGGACGTCCCTGAAAAAGACGGCGTCTAAAAGGCAGCGTATCGCTGTTGTTGGGACAAATTTGAAAATGCCTATTGTCCTTTACAATGTTTGTAAATTTGACGATGAATGGACCAAAAGAAATGGTCCAAAATTACTTGGACAAAAGTCTGGTTCCATTGACATACATTAAAGGTAAAGTATGTTTTTTCTTTCTCCTGTAAAGTTACCATTTTGGAGATACAAGGTTTTGTTCCGACAGCAGCGATATGTTGTTCATGAATGTATATCTTTAAGTGTTAATGGTGATTTCAGAGATGTGCAAGTCACCCACTAACCCCCCCAGTACAGTGGCAGATACTGGATTTTGAACCTTACGCTGGTAACAATCTAAATGGTCCTTTACTCCGTTGGCTGCGAGAACACAGTGTCCATTATTTCCATAAACAGTCTGAGGTTGACTCTGCAGACCACAGCGCACGTTTTCTTCAGTCCATGTTTATTAAATACGCAGTTAATGTTTGGCATTTAGTTTAGTCTTAGAACTTGCTGCCTAACATGTTAGCCTAAATAATTATCTAGTACTTTGGAGTTTGTACTCCACATTTTATTCCCCAAAATGTTATATTCAGTAAATAAACAGTAAGTATGCATAAAAAATGTTCATATTCAGGATGTGTTCACTTATTTTCACTTAGAAAATCAACAAAAGCATTTAATTTGACCAGAGGATGCGACTGTATGTGCATGAATGTATGCATGTGAGTCTCTCGGTCAAGTGGACAGTGACAATGACATTGACCGGGTAAATACAGCGCGTGGGAAGTCCTGTACCTGAGGCGTGTGGATGTGCGTCCGGCACTCAGAGCCGTTTCTAAGGGAAACATATTTGTTTTGACGCTGCACTGACTCTTCCGCTCTGGGTGGGGAAGCATTTTCCGGAAGCGTTCAGTATGTGGTGTACTCCACAAGAGCAACCGAGCATGGGAAGTGTGTACCAAGGTGGACAGGCGAGACGGATGTCTCCACGGCAACGGAGAGGGAGCCTCCCTTCCGTGGGCCTGATGGCAACTATTTCAATGATAATGTTCTTCCACCGGCAAAAGCAACAGAAGTAAAAAGACTAATTCATCATTGAGGTTATACCAGTCAGAGGTTTCGAACACATCTGATTCAATTTGTGTGTTTTCACTATATTAATGACATTAAAGATGTTCTGGAAACTTCATTATAGACGTTCATTTTATTACCAATTCATTCTGAGTGATATATAGTTATTTCTTTCTTGTTATTTATTTTATTATAACTTCATTCTGGATATTCATTTTATTACAACTTCATTGTTTTTATTCCAGATGTTTATTTTATTAGAGCTTCATTTTCATTATTCATTTATTATAACTTCATTTTGCATGTTGATTTTATTATAATTTCATTCTCAACATTTATTTCATTATAAGTGCATTCTAGATATTTTATTTCCTTTATTTTAATATATTTTATAATATTATTTTGGATATTAGTTTTATTGTAACTTAATTCTTAATATTGGTTTTCATTTTCATTCATTTTTATCAGTTTTCATTTTGAGTGTTAATTTTATGATAGATGTTTTTAAGTGATTTTATAGTTTCATTCTTGTTATATATTTTATTATTGCTTTATTCTGGATGTTAACTGTGTTGTGTGTATAATAACTTTATTCTGGATGGTATTTTACTATAATTTCATCTTTTTGTTTTATTATGACTTTATTCTGGATATAAATTTTATTGTAACTTCATTGTAGATACAAATTTAAATAAAACTTTCTTGTGCATATTCTTTTTCTTAGTTTCTTAGTCTTAATTCTAGAAATTCATTTATTTCTTCATTAATTTATAATTCAGTCAGTATGTGCATTTTATTATTGTTATTACTATGTTTTTGTGTTTCATTCAATATTTTCTTTCATCTTTTAAAACCACCACTAATACAACATCATTGGACGACTCACTGCTAATTCTGTTACATCAGCTAGCAGGCATTGGCTAGTGTTGTGTTGTACATGTAAAAATATTTTAAATCTTTAAATAATAAAAGTATGTTAACAGCATCCAAACCTAACATTTGGCATAAGGTAACACCAGTAATAGAGTTACCTTTAAAAAAACATAACACTTTACAGAAGAGCAGCATTCATAAAGCTATATAAATGACATAAACCTGCGTTAACACTTTAAAGACTCAGTCCAACAAGCGTCAGATGTAATAAATGCTGCGTTAGTCAGGATCATCCCAGAAGGTGTTGTCGCAACTGATACTAGGAACTGACGTTGGAATAAACTGACTAAAATAGTTTTGGTCTGAGTGACCCTATATGTTTATTGTGTTTATTTTAATAAAATAAATGAGCCTTTCATTTTGTCACTACCAAAACAATCATAACACTAGTGAAACTTTACCAAATGTTTCAGTATATCATTATATCTTTCATTAAAGCACAAAAAATTACTTAATTGCCAAAACATGTGTTTCAGTGACAGTTATTCATTTTCCACACTGATTTTCAGACTTTGAGGCACATTTATTTCAAAACACTGGGATCTAACTGCTCACCATGTGGCCATGAGGGACAGGGATGCAGACTCACTTACTGCTCTAAAAGGCCCCATCTATGTACTTAAAACTTGTTGTGTTTTGGTAGTGATGTGAAAATATGGGGCAGGAGGTTCTTAATGTAACAAATTTATGGTCAGTCTAAAATTTTTTAGTTTAAAAGAAGTCAAAAAGATCTTTTTTCAAAATAAAATTGAAAAAAATCCAAAACAAATGAAGATTTGTTGAAAAAGCGTTAGGGTTCGACACCTCCCAATAGAAAGTACCCCAAACATGATGATTTTGTATATATTTAGCATACTACTCTCCATAATGCCTCAGGTTCAAATAAATCTGGTGTAAATACTTCATTGTTTTTAAATAGTGTTTTGTGTTGTTTTTTTACTGTTTGAGATAACTTTGTAGAACGGTCCATATAGGTTTATGTTATGCTTATGACTGATCTACAGTAAGGTGTTCATGTGAAGAGGCTTTCTGGGAAGCCCAGCCTCGGTACTTTCTGACTTTCTGCTGTTTATGTTGAATTTAGGACATTTGACAATTTTAGACAATGGACAGGTGAAACTCGTATGAGTCAGCAAAGCGCTGTTTAAATGAAACAGTTGCCATTTGATTGACATTTGACTAGTTGACCCACCGATACTGACTTTTTTCTTTTATTTTGTTTTAAAATTTCTTCTATTTTTCACAGCTTATTACTATTTCATCTGTGTCTTTCACACAAATTAAGCTTGTCAGCACTTTATTAAGTTAGTCCTGCCGATGGTAAAGACTAAACATGTAGAAGCAGCGTTTAACTACCGTTACACTATTTAATGACTTTCTCATGTTTTTACTTTTTAAACGAAATGAGTATTTTCTCATTTGTGAAGCACGATGACAGCATGACAGCAGTATGAAAGGTGCTGTATAAGTAACCTTGCCTGGCCCTTTTAATTGAAACATGAAATCATTTTATACATTTATCTGCCACAGCATTTTCATATTATTGAAAACAGTGATTCCAAACTTTTTGAGCATCCTTAATTTCACAGCAGTTGGATTTGATTAAGATGGTGTGTGTGTGTGTGTGTGTGTGTTTGTATTTTACAGTGTCGTAAAGGTCCTGTTGGAGTCTGGTGCTGATCCAAACCTTGGAGATGAGTTCAGCAGTGTTTATGGAACTGCACGAGACAAAGGCATACACTCTCTGGAGGGTAAGAGGCTGTTTTACTTTTTATGCATTTTTTTTTGTTTTCAGGGAAACACAAATGTCCCGACTATGTAAGAAAACCAGAGGAAAAAATCTACGATGTGAAGACCAACAAAACACCAAACACGTCATAAAGTGTTTTATGGAAATGAAAATCTCCATATTTCATTTTATAAAGCAAAAAGAGGAGAACTTTGGTTACTCAGGTTAAGGCTTATGAAACACACTATGATGTGTAGCAATATGTACATATGGACCATATTGCATATTGGTACTCATGTATATGTGAGTGTGTGTGTGTGTGTGTGTGTGTGTGTGTGTGTGTCTGCGTGTGTGTATTAGCGGTTGCACGACTTCAGGTTATTTAAAGTCGACAGGTTTGTGATGAGCTTCGAGTCGACATCCACTAATCGCTGCCGATGACGTCATGAATAAGAACACAGGCGATAGGAATGTTTTTCAGTGAGCAGCTTTAAAAATCCAACTTGAAAAATCAGTAACAAAGCAACACTCAGGTCAGTAGAGCGTGACGTGCCCTTTCCAGCCAGCCCCGGATCACATCGCTAGCCTTCAGGAAAACAGAGATCCTGAAATCACCAGGCTTCTCACCTGTTGTTTTCTCTGAGGCGTTTATGTCGTCAGTGTCATAATCACATTATCAGTGACTAGTCGGCATTAAGCTTGCATCATCGGCGAGAAGTAAAGTTAGGTAGCCGACTAGTCTGTGCGACCCCTGGTGTGTGTGTGTGTGTGTGTGTGTGTGTATATATATATATATATATATATGTATATATATGTATATATGTATATATATATATATATATATATATATATGTATATATATATGTACTCACACACACACACACACACACATATATAGATATGGGACATTTTGTCATTACGTATAGGTACTTATGTGTGTGCTATATATGGGACATTAGGGCTGAAAGATTAATCATTTTTATATGCAATTTTCAATTCGCAAGACCTGCAATTTTTATTATATAATACACTGTCAACAATGTTGTCTTAATAAGTTTGAATGGAAAAGAATAAAACTAATAACACAGAGGTTGAGTCCTGCCTGTAGATAACCTGCACCAATCAGAAGCTATGAAACACCCATGTTTGGATATGTGACATCACAACCATCACAACTAACCGACACACTCAGCGTTCAAGCTTCATACCCGAAAAGTGGATATTCTGCTCTTCTTGGCCAAAAACAGGCCTGGAAATTAATTCATAGAAAATTTCTTCATTTAAGTCACAATACTGGTCAGAAAAATCGCAATTAGATATTTTCCCCAAATCGTTCAGCCCTGTGGGGCATATTACATTTAGGAACTTACCTATATAGTTCATATGGGAACCATATATGACCCCATGTTCTGATGTATAAAAACAGACCTCTGTGTGTGTGTGTGTTTGTGTGTGTGTGTGTGTGTGTGTTTGTGTGTGTGTGTTTGTGTGTGTGTGTTTGAGGACAGGCATCTTCCCCAGTGTGTTTGTGTAGTGCTTTCAGTTGGAATGCATTACTAACTCTCAGATTCTTTCTGGCCATCATCATCATCATCATCATCATCACAGCGTCTGAATAATCCCTCCATAAAGCCGAGCAGCTCCCGTTTTTAAAATATGACCAATCCTCTCGCGCTCTCTCTTCTGGAGGAATATGGCGAGAAGAAGTGTGTGGGTGTTATTACAAATATCAATTTACTCACGGACAGTATTATTACAGAACATCCAAACATGCGCAACTTATTTGCATATGTGTAATCGTTCCATTTTCCACCATGTTATTTTTTATTATTTTTCATAAAAAACTCAGGCACCCAAACACACACACACACACACTCACACTCAGCAGTAGGAGACATATTTATATATGATATGTATATTACACACATTTGTATTGTTGGCAGTTTTTTGGGCCGTCTGGGAGGAGGCCTCCCCAGATGCACCATGATGGATGGGCGAGTGCGCGTGTGTGTATACATGTTTCTTTCTTTCTGTGTGTGTGTGTTTCTGTGAAGTGACTCCTATGGTTGGACGTGTGTGTGTGTGTGTGTGTGTGTGTGTGTGTGTGTGTGTGTGTGTGTGTGTGTGATGGATGGTATGCTCCTCTCTCTCTGACGCTTTATTGAGTTAGCTGTGATTATCCGGCTCTCAGACATTAGTTACCAATGACGACCAGCCTGACAGCAGAGAGAGAGAGAGAGAGAGAGAGAGAGAGAGAGAGAGAGAGAAGGGGGAGACAAACAGAGAAAGGAAAAAGGAAGACATAGGGAGGTGGACATAAACGAAAAGAAAGAGAAGAGAAAGACTAAAATCTGACCAAACTTTGACCAAACGCGGACTAAAAATCTAACCTTGTAGTTGTTGCATTTTTAAAGTGCATGTGACAAAAAGTAAACAACACTGAGTAAAATCTAATCAAACAGACTTAAATCTGATCAAACACTGAGTAAACTCTGATCAAATACTGACTAAAATCTGATCAAACACTGAATAAAATCTGATCAAACATTGAGTATACTATGATCAAACAATGGCCAAAATCTGATCAAACAATGGCTAAAATCTGATTAAACAATGGCTAAACTCTGATCAAACAATGGCTAAAATCTAATCAAATACTGAGTAAAATCTGTTTAAACATGAAAGTCTAATCAATCAATGGCTAAAATCTTAGCAAAAAATGGTTTAAATGTGATTAAACACAGACTAAAATCTGATCAAACACTGATTAAAATACAATAACAATAGCTAAAATCTTATGAATTACTAAAATCTGACACTGACTAAAATCTAAGCAAACAATGGCTAAAATCTGATCAATCACTGACTGAAGTCTGTGTGAACAATGACTAATCACTGACCAAAATTGATCAAATACTGACTGTAATCTGACCAAAAAGTGAACACAATTTGACCAAACACTTCCGATCAATTACTAAAATCTGATCAAAGACTGACTGAGTTATAGAGAATGAGAGAGAGAGAGAGTGGAGGGGCAGTGAGAGAAAGAAAGACACAGGGAGGAAGAAATATGATAGAAGAGGCGTTTGAGTTTATTTCACCTCTGTATGTGAGATCAAAACTAAAACACATGGAGAGAGAGAGAGAGAGAGAGAGAGAGAGACAAAGAGAGTGAGAGAGAGAGAGAGACAGACAGAGAGAGAGAAAGAGAGAGAGAGTGAGAGACGGAGAGAGAGAGATAGGGAGAGAGAGAGAGAGAGACAGAGAGAGAGACAGAGAGAGAGACAGAGAGAGTCAGTCTATTAACCCGTGTGGGGGGCTGTGTATGTAAAGTGGTCTAATAGCCGGCTGTATGTAACTCTGTGTCGACAGTCAGTTGTTGCATATTTAAAATGTCTGTGTCTGTTTTTATGTTTTTATTTTTAATGTCTGCTGTTTATCTTTAAACTCACAGATGGCAACTTTCTCCATCTTCTGCTTCATTAACTAACCTCTTTATTCCTTTATTCACTCACTCCATCTTCTGACGCCCTTTCCTGTTTATTTTGTTCACTGTCAGGATCGCTGCCCCCATTTCTCCCTCTCTCTCTTTTTCTCTCTATTTCCCTTTTTAAACTCACCTGCTTTTTCTTTCTTTCTTCCTTGCCTCCTTCCTTACTTTCTTTCTCTGTCTCTCCCTTATTCTGTCTCTGACTGTTTTCTTTCTCCTATTCTGTCTCTCAGAACATTTCACTTTGTTGTACAAAAGCAAAAACATGCGGATGCATAAAGAGAATTATAGTATTAACTCTCTCTCTCTCTCTCCCTCCCTCTCTCTCTCTCTCTCTCTCTCTCTCTCTGTCTCTCTCTCTCTCTCTCCTCTCTCTCTCTCTCTCTCTCTCTCTCTCTCTCTCTCTCTCTCTCTCTCTCTCTCTCTCTCTCTCTCTCTCTCTCTCTCCCTCTCTCCCTCTCTCTCTCTCTCTCTCTGTACTCCTGCTCTCTCTCATTCTCTCTCTCAGTGTTGGTCAGCAGAGAGGATGAGTTCAGCAGTCGGCTCAGCAGTCGTGCGAGTTTCCGTGGCTGCACTCCGCTGCATTACGCAGTTCTGGCTGATGACCTCCGCACCGTCCGCATGCTGCTGGAAGCAGGTGAGACTTGCTCAGAGAACTAACCGAACTCTGACCGAACTCTGACCAAACACTGACCACAATATGAACGAACACTGACTACAGTCTGATCAAACACTGACCAAACTCTGACCACAATCTGATCCAACTCTGAATACAATATGATTAAACAGTGACCACATTCTGAACAAACAGTGACCACAGACTGGCCAGACACTGACCACAGTTAGACCAAACACTGACCACAGTCTGACCAAACACTGGCTACATTCTGGCAAAACACTGACTAAACTCTGACCACAATCTGACCAAACAGATTTTACAAAGAAATCTGCAGGGGTATTTATGTCTGTTTCTTTTTCTCATTCAGGGCTTCTTGACAAACCTTTTTTTCCTCTCGCTCAAAGATGAACAGTACTGTTTGTCTGATGGGGGCAGTTTTGGTGGTCTACCAGGACTTCCAGGTGGTTGTTAGGAATCTTGTTTTCTCCATAACTTTTAATCTTTTTTGGAAACTGTTATTTTTCTGTGATTTCCCAGGTGTATTATCCTGAGTCTAGTCTCCTCCGATTAGGGTGGTCTCTGACTTTTCCACAGTACTGTATTGTTGTAAACACATATACGTATATGAGACATACACTCTCCTGCCCTCCTTCACCAGACAAGCTAGCACCTTAAACAAGTGACCCAGGTTGCCCGAGGCAGTTAAGCTGAAGTTGACCTTTCACCCCTGGAGTGGACGAACTGCGAGTGGCTTGACCTGCTGCCAGAGGGTGTCAGGAAGTGTAATGGGGTATATATTGGTGTATTATATGAGCCCAAAGGGTATATAAGTGAGCTCCCCTCAGTGCGGAGGAGTAGCGGCTCTACTTTGAGCTCCTCTGGTAAGCGTATTCTCCTAAAAATGACCCTTTTAGTGACGACTGTGTTTGACCAAGCAATTGCGCCACCCATGTTCCAGATCAGCTATGCTTGGTAGGGTTAAACAAATTTATCACAAGTACATACAGGACAGTTCAAGGTCCAAGCCGTACCGCACTCCACTATATTGTCCGAGCAGATGTAATTACATTTCCATATAGTAGTCGGGATGCTGGGCTCATACTGTTTTTTCTCTCCATTCAAATATGCAAATGTGCTGCCGGAGAGAGAGAAAGGATGGAAATGAGGACGAATGAAGAAGAGAGCGCTGTTAGAAACACACTTTAAGTGTCAACACTGTCTAGAAATCCCCCTCCAGAAATGGAATGGCTGGCCTGAAGCACCAAATGCATTTTCAAATAAAACAGGAGGACTTAGGAGCAAACAGAAATAGTTTTTTTAATACCAAAAAAATCTGATTACCTACTTAAAAATCCCATTACCCAGAAGCCTGTGTGGCATGTGGCCACACCCCGGCAGACAGAGCAGCGCCAGATGTCGGGAAACATCAAGCGGAGAGGTGATCTTCACCGTGCGACTTGGTCTCTCGCAGTACCGGTGGTTCTCCCTGGTCCTCTGAAGAACTTTGCCCTTTACAGTCATGGGTCCTTTTAGTGTTTGTGCCCCTCATGCTCTTAGGGAGCTTTTCCTTTTGAGTCTTGGTTCCCTTAGTGCTTCCTCCTCATGCTCTTAGAGAGTTTTTCCCTTTTGAGTCGTGGTTCCTCTCAGTGGTTCCTCCTCATCTTAGGACCTTTTCCCATTTGTGTCTTGGTTCCTGTCAGTGGTTCTTCTTCACAGTGTTAGGAACATGGTTCTTCTCATCATCTCTTCCTCATGCTCTTTGGAAATTGCTCCGTATGAGTCTTGGTTCCTCCTAGTGGTTCTTCCTCATGCTATTAGGAATGTGGTTCTTCTCATCATTTCTTCTTCATGCTCTTAGGAAGTTTCTCCGTTTGAGTCTTGGTTCCTCTCAGTGGTTCTTCCTCACAGCTCAACAGTCAGGTTTTTAGAACAACCTCATCATTGCGAGGTACAAATGATGTGCTACTAATGTAGGATATCACATCACCCAGTGTATTTAAAGTTCAGTTATGAATTATGTGGGAATGCTGGTGTCCTGCTATGGTTTTTGCAGTTCTTTCAGTTCGTCAGTTTATCATTAAGCTGTTTGCGGGTTGATTGGAGTTGGAGGGGTTTGTTTGTTTGTTTGTTTGTTTTTCCCTCCTTCTGGTTTGGAGTCGCTCTGCTGTCATTTAGAGCCACTTTAATAAACATGAGAAATAGGCTCCTGTCATACCTGCAAACTCTCCAATCTCTCTCTTTCCACAACACACACAAACACAGATACAGAGGTTTGACCGCAGGGCTGGTCAGGCACCTTATTTCCCCTATGAGCGACCGGACATGAGCGTCCGCCTCGGCCCTCCATTTATCACTGCACTCCTGGAGGGTCTTCCAGTCACACGTCCGGCACGCTGGGGTATTGGGACCAGGGCAGACACGTCCCCACCAATATTTAAAACGTTAGTTTGCCCAAACATTACATAGCTAAGAACAGCAACAGCTGTGTTCTCGAAGCTTGTATTGCACTTTTATATACAGCAGTTTGTTATAGAGTGTCAGAAACCACATAAGCAAGTCTGTTTGAGATCACTTAACACTGTTTGAGGCGCCTGCTAATTGGTGGGATACAAGCTTGCAGTACTTACATTAGCCTTGTAGCTGCAGTGCAAAAGTAAAGAAGCAAACTTTAGTCCATTTGTCTGTTTGGCAGTAACAGTGGCTGTATCTGTAATACATGGTGATTTTAAAACGTATTGCATTTCTCAATCTTGGATCAGACATGTTTAGTGCAGTAGGCTATTGTAACTAACTGCATAGAAAAGCATGTGTATTTTTACCAGTGTAGCATCACTTTAGTCATTTATTTGAATGCTGACAACTTGGGAAGTATTCGCATATTAAAATTTGTTATTATTATGTGTCTTATGCAGTATTGTATCCATCCGCCTCATTGATTTGATAAAATTCACAATTTTACATTAATTGTCTTTAATGTTCTCCATTGACATGATGTTTGTCCTGTTTATACACTTTTATGACTGCAGGCCGTGCGTTACAGTGATTTTTATCGGCTTCTCATCGTGCCTAATAACACCCTTACCTGTGCTAGAATCACTGTAACATACAGCCTCTTGTGGCTTATTGCTTTCTATTGTGTATTAGATTTTAGCACTTTGTTGTAGTCTTATTTGATCTTTTGTTTTTTTTTTGTTTTTTTTCCTCTAACATTTTTGTTGGGATTTGACATCATTTTCTTGTTTTTGTTCAATGTTTTTACTCTTTCAATCAGAGAAAAGTAGCCAAACTGAGATACAGTATCTGGATAGACAGCTACTTTGCTAATGTCATCTTTTAGCGTATTGCCCTCCTCATTGGATGAGTCATTTCTGTCATTTGAGTCATTTATTTTCTCCATGGAAATGATGACTGTACAGTTAATACACTTTTATGGCTGCAGTAACATATCGTCGCTGTCCAAAGTAAAACAAGAAACGGTAACTTTACAGTAGAGGGTAAAACCGTTCTTTACTTTCAGTGTAAGTTAATGTGAAAAGATTTTATATGACGCAGTTTTGGAGAATTTCTGTTGGTCCAGTCATCATGAAATTTTCACACAATGTGAAGAACAACTGCCGAGCTCAAATTATGCAGAAAACTAAAGATCGCAAAAATTAGAATACTTTTTTTATTTTGGACAAGCGACGATATTTAGCTTCCTAGTAGTAACATTAGCCAACTCCAAAGCAGATGTTCTTTTTCAAAGGTCCCTCCCACCTTCAAGATGCATCATCAGAGGGGATTTTTACTCTTTGAATTAGAACATTGCACTCGACTACTGCGGCACCACTGGAGGAGGCAAGTAACTCATTGATGTTCAAATAGGAGGTTCATTTTCAGTACGATACGCTCCTAACAGTAGTCACTGATTGTCTCTGGTGTGGACCAGAGGAGGAGGATGGGTCCTTCTTTTGAGGAATTGATTCATCTCAAGGTTTCTTCCTCTTGTTTTTAGGGAGTGTTTCTTGCCACTGTCGCCCTTGGCTTGCTTTAGCTAAATGGTGCATGGACCCAGATCTTCTGTAAAACTGCTTAAAAGTGCCATAAACTTGACTTGACTCGAAGTAAACATGTTTACGACAGATGTAGCGACAGTTCCATTTTTCATTTTGATTAGGGTGTAAGTAAGTAAGTAGGCCCAGCGTCACATAGTTTGTCTCATATTTAGACGCATTGGCTATGAGTTTGAGAGTCGTGAGACCTGGGAGCGCCAAGAAGTTGGCCAGGTGGGTTACAGTTTAATACAGTTGATGAGTCCATCTTGATCAATGCATTTGGCTGAAACAGCAGTGTATAAGCCTATATGTCATTGGATTTTAAACCTTTGAAAAGTTGCCTAATTCAGTGAGATGCAAACAAAGTTAATGAGAATGTTTTCAATGAAATGGTTTATTATACACAAACTTAGATTTGGACCAACTCAGGTTTCTTTACAGTGGTGGTGATGGGAACCAGTGAACAGTGATAACCAGTGAACCTACACAAGTCTTCTGATTGGTTAAATTTAATGCTGAAAATGGTAAAATATTGAAAACTACGTTTGGGACTACTTCTCCTTAAGATGTATCCCTCCGCTGTGAATGGATTGGTCCAAAATCTTTTCTCAAAACTGTCGTAAAACAGTGTCTCAGTCATCAGGCAGTGTATTCATAACCACTTCATGTAATAGCTTTCTGTGTGGGACCTTATAGAGGTGTTAAACTCTTCAGACGTCTGGTTCCTATCACCACCACTGTGAACAAGTCTAACTACAGAACAGAGAATTTCACATCAAACCGCTTTGAATAACTTTAATAATTTAATTATGCATAAACTTTTTGGCCATATCATCAGCATTATACAAATGTTGACGCTGTGCTTCTTGTTGGTAAATCCGCCCCAACATACCACCCTCTCCTTTGCCATTGCTTGGCTGGGGAAGAGCCTCCAGGCCTCAGGCTCCAGGCCATAGGAGGTGACTAATCATCTGAGCCACGGCTCCTGACCCCTGCCCCTTGAGGGTCACCCCCCCCTAACACTAGTCTGCAGCACATCCTGCCAGCTGGAGTGAGATAGAGAGATATAGAAAAAAAGAGACACAGATAGAGGCCACATTATGCACTCAGCGCTTAGCGCTTAGCGATCGGTAAATAGCGCTAATTATTTCACCAATCACCTCTCTTTTCTCTCAATGAAGCGCAGCCCCTAAACGTGCCTCTGTACGCATGTCTCTCTGAGGGTTAGCTAATCATTAGTATTGCTTCTTTTTAACGCTCGGTGCCCAGAGGGTGCTGTGTGTGATATTAGAGCTCTAAATGATGCTATTTATTATCTGTGAGGGAGAGCGAGCGAGGGAGGAACGAGGGAAGGTGTAAAGGGAGGACAGGGCGCCGTCGTTTCTTTATTACTTTCCCTTTTTTATGTCCGCTCCGTATCGATCGGGATGTTTCGCTCAGACGCGTTTAGAGTTTTATCAATAATGCCAGCGATTAGCCGGAGAGCGTGGGCCTGCACGCTAGCGCTAACAGCTAACAGCCCTCTTTAGCCAGGCCAGTGATTTGATTCTTGGTTAACGCAAGGAGCCTGGTCACTTTCTGACCGATGTAGTGGACTAGGGAACAGGATCTCCCTGTCCAGAGGTGGACAGATTTATTACCTGCATGTACTTTTTTAACATGTTTTAGAGCTGAATTCTGAGCCTGGGTTGCAAACAATGACCAGCGTCATGACCACAACGTGAAACTCGTTATGACAAGTAAAACAAACAAATTAACAAGGTGATGGAAATGAGGTGTTGAGGCTTTTGTTATAAAGCTTGGTGAAAATTATTGAAAATTAACTACACATTAACTACAAAAGCTTGGTGCTAAAATAAGACTGAAAATCGCTTAGAGATGCTAAAAGAAATTAGCATTGGTGGTTTTGGAGCAAGGGTTTTGCATTAAATAATGCTATATTATGAAATGTTTATGTTTATATGAAAAAAGTTACAAATTGGATGAAACTGCAATATACAGTGATGAACGACCGAACCTTTTTTGTCCTCTAGCAATCCATCGTTGCCTATAGCTTACTCTAAAGGAACTACATTTCTTGGCAGAAGAATTGTTTATCGCAAATGAATAATAACTTAAATTATTTATTGAGAATTGTGTATAATCATATTCATATTTTATCATAATCGTATTTTATGTTGTCCACAGTTCGTTAAATCAAAAAGCCATTTGAGGCCGTGCTTTACAGTGATTTTATCAGCTTCTCGTTGTGCCTAATAACACACTTACCTGTGCTAAATTCACAGTATTACACAGCCTCTTGTGGCTTGTTGCTTTTTATTATGTGTTAGATTTTAACACTTTGTCGTACACTTCACTTTCAGTCTTCAGTTGTTTCATTAACATTTTTGGCCTTTTTGTTGGGATGCATTGAAATTTCAGCCACTGAACAATTTTGACAGTAGTTAAAAGTGGCATTTTTTGTTTCAGTGGCTGAAATTTTGGTGCATCCCTAGTTTGAATGTAAACCCTGCTAATGTCTCATGTCTCCAGCAGCAAAGCATGACTGTTAGAGCTAGGAGCAATACATTTCGAACATGAGGCAAAAACACCCTCAACACTAGTTTGTTGGTGCTAAGCTAATGGCGATTTACACGAACACTTTCTGAAGCCTCTGTTTTTAATGTTTCCATTCCACCTTAAATGGTGCAGTAGTTAAATTTTGGCACATTAAGGCATTGGAATGTAACTGCTGTGGCATTTAAGGTGGTACAGAAAATTGGAAAAAGGCAGCTCCAGATAAAACACAGACACTTAAAGTCTCTAAAAGACATTTGCAGGTTTTACTTGAAGTTTGTATCAGATACATTAGCATGTAGTGACCGAGCAGTTTCACAGTGGCTGGTTTAGAGCTGCTGCCGCAGTTTTCCATTTCTAACAATCCTTTGGTTAAACTGCTGATCATATTAACTCAGTGACATATCTAGAACTTCCAGAAAGCCGAGAAAGATGTTATTCTCACAAAATTTGTCTACCACTAGAAACCAAAACGTGCTTGTTACGTAATTATGCTGATAGGTAATCTAGCCTGTTAGGACTTCTTCTCATAATTCCTGATTGACCAATTTTCTGTTTTACGCTTCAAGAACTTAATCCTTTTGTTTCTTTCCAACAAACAGTGGGACAAGAGTAGTGCTGTAAAATTGACTTAAATACAAGTGTGATTCTATTGAAAAAACAATTACAGACATGCATTTTTATCTTCCCAGAGATCATTAGGCCTTCTCTCGAGGCCTGGAACGCCCTGAGGGTTCCCTCTACATATCTGACATTGGGTCCAAACTCAGTTAATTTGCGTGTGCAGGCTTTTGTCTTTTTTGCTGTATCAACACGTGTGTTTGTGTCAGTCAGGGCAGGTCAGGGTGAAAGAATCGAAATGCCTCTTGACACCACGGTAACCATCGCTCTAGTCACCATGTCTTTACTGGCCACCCGCTACCTCACACACAATGAGCCAGCTTGCTGTAATAGCAGAACAATAGCCGGGCCGGCCGGGCCGTCAGCCTGTTTTAACTGAATAAGCAGTCGAGCAGCGGGGAGGCTCGGGCTGTTCCTTCTGACACACACATACAAACACATACAGACGCGAAAAGCAATTCGTAATGAAGGACATCTGCATGATAAACACATACAAATGCGCTCAGTGCTGCCTTAATAATGTGTTAGATGTAAAGATGAATTCTACTTTTTAATTTTTTCATTTATGTAAAATTCAGTGGTTGTGATGTAAACAGAGTCATTCAGGTGGTTTGATGTGAAAAGGGTTCATTGTAGAGAAACTTAGCAGCCCTGATTTCTTTACAGTGGTGGTGATAGGAACCAGGCGTCACCATGTCTACAGCACAAAAATAGCCATTTTATTTACTATCCAAAGCCACCAGTGAACCCACACATGCCTTCTGCTGAGTGTCTTCGGCCTGACTTTTTATGTGTAATGTTGATGATGGGACAATTTTTCAATGTGGACTATTTTTAGATTTATGAAAATACGATATTAGGCTAAAACCTTATTTCAAAATAATGTAAAATAGGAACCAGACGTCTGCAGCGTGAAATGCCTCTTAAACCTCCCTCCCTGAAAGTTATTACATGAAATGGTTATGAATACACTGCTTAATGAGACACTGAGTCACTATGGTTTTGAAAAGGTTTTGGCCTGTTTTTTTAAAATCCATTCATGGTGGAGGGGTCCATGCGGGACATTGTGAGACAAAATAGTCTCCAAAGAAGACATATTCTTTCATATTAACCACTATTTTACATAAACATTAGATATGACAACACGTGTAGGTTCATTGGTGGTTTTGGGGCGTATGCGACCCCTGGTTCCTACAATTTCTACAGGTTCTCTACAGTCAACCCGCCCTTGACCGCTGAAAATGCCGAATACAACCTAAAATTGCCAATGATAGTGCTAGAAAACAATAATAGCTGTGATTTGATCACTGGCACATGAAATAAAAAAGAATATAAAACAATATATATATATATATATATATATATATATATATATATATCTGTGTGTGTGTGTATATATATATATATATATATATATATATATATAAAATATACAACTGCATGTAATAAAATAACTAGCTGTCCAAAATTAGGGATAAATTCCGCTAATTTATTCACCAAGCATTTTGAACAACATACGTGCACCAATTTATTTCTGTATAATTCAGTTGTTGAGGTGTAAACAAGGCCTTTCAAAGTGGTTTGATGTGAAATGGTTCATTGTAGAGGAACTTGAATCTGATTTCTTTACAGTGGTGGTGATAGGAACCAGGGGTCACCATGTCTACAACACACATATAAACATTTTATTTATTATCCAAAACCACCAGTGAACCTACACGAGTCTTCTGAGTTTCGTTTTAGATGTAAAACAGTACATTTCATGCCTCTCAGAACTATCATATAACGATGTCTCAGGCATCTGGCTGAGTATTCATAACTGTTTAATGCATTAACTGTCTGTGAGGGACCTATTAGAGGTGTTCACCTCTTCAGACGTCTGGTTCCTATCACCACCACTGTGAACAATTCTGAGTTTCTCTACAGTGAGCAGTTTCACACTGAACCACTCAGTGACTTTGTTTACTTTTAATCATGCAGAATGGTGCAGTGTACGAATGTGATCAGCCACACTTGTATGCAGATTGATAGCCGGATGTCTCTTAGCATGAACTCATTGTCCTGAAGCCCCCCTGTATGTAGGATCCATACTTTTCCTCAGCACTCTTTTACTGGCTTTCTTAACGAAGTGACCCCCTAACTGCACCAACAGCTTGACCCACAACCTCGATGTTAACCCTTGACCTCTGGTTTCTCGCTGCGTGCAGGTGCCAACCCCTTGCAGACGAACGAGCTGGGACACACTCCGCTGGCCTACGCCAAAGAAGGAGAGATGCACACAGTGCTGAAGGAGTGGGAGAGCAAGGTATGGTGTGTATGCTGGTTGTGTGTTTGTATAAAACATGGATTTCACTGCTGTCGGAACAAAAACTCGTATCTCCAAAATGACAGCTTTACAGGAGAAAAAACATAATCAGCTTTTAATGTAAGTCAATGGAACCAGATGTTTTTACAGGTAATTTTGGGGCATTTTTTTTAGTTCATTAATCATGAAATTTACATACAATGTAAAGCACTGCATGCATTTTCAAATTATGTTGAAAACTGAAAAACGATATATGATATGAAGTTTTGTTCCAACAGCAGCAATATGCAAGATGGCGGTACGTTGCTGGTGATGATATCACACCTGCATTCACCAACTCACATTCAAAACATCAAAAATACTAACGTGGAATTTAGCATAATGTTTTTTGCCTCATGCAAATAAGAGGAGGTTTTAGGTTTTCCTGGAGCCCAACTTGAAAACTTTTTTTTTTTTTTGGAAATACAAAAAATGATGCCTTATTAAATGATTAAAAATAAACCTTAATGATAATTGGTAGAATTTTCCAAATGCAAGCGACCAAATTCTCTCAAGTTTAAATACACTCAGATATTTACAGTCACATGCAAATGTTTGGACACCCCTGGTAAAATGACGTTTCGTTGATTTTCTAGGTGTAAGTAAGGATGCGTTCAGACTAGGCAGGTTTAGTTCGATTAAAACAAACCCTCCGTTAGTGCAGTTCATTAGAGTGAGTGAGAGCTCTGATTACTTTATTACTTTATTTCTTTATTTATTACCAATTAAGTCTTTTATTACCTTAAATACACTAGAGAAGAGCTTCTAACGGTTTAACTGTATCTTTACCTGTGTGGGTGTAAAGCTTAGGCCTAAATATCTTAATCCAGATTATCCTGGATTAAAGCTCTAATGCGTGGTAATCCTGTTAGCTGCAGGAGCAGCAGGGGACTACCTGATGACCCTGTATCACTTTCACTGGCCTGAGGCACGCCCACTCACTGTGCTGTCTGTTACATTTGCTTGCTAGTGAAGGCCAGAGGAACCTGTGGGTTTATTTGAGGTGAAAGCCTTGCAGTATAGTAGTGATGTGACGATCTCATCCAGGGGAACGAGATCAGGGCCAATCCAGACACGCCATCATATTTTATTATCAGTGATTTTTACCCTCAAGCTGAGAGGGTGAGGCTAGCATGACCTCCAAGTGACTCGAAGGGCCACTGCGTCTTTTTGAACTCATCATTGGACGGCTCAGCGCGCTTGGAGGAGAACGCTATCTGCCAGTTCTGTCTGGCTAGCATCGCACTGAGTGCT